TCATCTTTCTTGAAGTGGGGAGCCCAGAACTGTACACAGTACTCCAGATGGGGCCTCCCCAGGGCAGTGTAGAGGGGGAGGAGAACCTCCGTCGACCTGCTGGCCACACTCCTCCTAATGCATCCCAGGATCCCATTGGCTTTCTTGGCAGCCAGGGCACACTGCTGGCTCATGGTTAACCTGTTGTCCACTAGGACACCCAGGTCCCTCTCCACAGAGCTGCTCTCCAGCAGGTCAGTCCTGAGCCTGTACTGGTGCATGGGGTTGTTCCTCCCCAGGTGCAGGACCCTGCACTTGCCCTCGTTGAACTTCATCAGATTCCTCTGTGCCCAACTCTCCAGCCTGTCCAGGTCACGCTGAATGGCAGCACAGCCTGCTGGTGCATAGACCACTCCTCCCAGTTTTGTGTCATCAGCAAACTTGCTGAGGGTACATTCTAACTCTTCATCCAGGTCGTTGATGAAAACGATTGCAGACTAACGGATTGTCAGGATTTTTGGGGCAGGTTTGGGTTTTTTCATTTAAAAAACAAACCCATGCTGCTAGCCCAGCACCACACGCTACAAACTTCTCGTAATTCCTCTCTCCCTTCCCTTAATTCATAGGCAGGTTTCACCTACCTGGTTCAGGCTAATGAGTAGAAAGTTCTGGAGAGTATACCTCTCCAATCTATAAAGCCACAGAGGTCCACAGACAACTGTCTATGAAGGTTCCTTTGGAAATACAAACCCAGTGGGCTTTAAAATTTTGCTGTGTAAAAGGCTGCTCTCCTGTCATTCTTAGGGGTTTGCAAACAGACCAAGGCTGCCCTAGAACAGCAACTGTAATTAATTTAGCACCATATATACTAAGAGTAAAAGGTGTTTGAAACTAGCATTCTCCTGCTTCTTTGGAATATTTTAATGTATTAGAAATCTTCACTTTTTAAATGCTTGAAGTCTTTTTAATTAGGCAGTGCCTTTCACCTTTGGAGAAGCATGTTCATACACTAGTACTTCAGAGAAGGAAAGCTGACAGAAAAATACATCTTAAAACAGTTGTTATTGAAAGTATTCATTGACCCTCTTTAAAGAGGAAATAATGTTTGCGTTACTGAAAAACTGTCTATTAATTGTGCGACTGGGGGGGGTGTGTGTGTTTGCCTTGGAAGCCTAGGTTACTGTTATTAGGTCTGTCTCATAGAAAATCAATTTTAAGGTAACCTTGGCAGAGCAGTGTAAGTAAGTTTACATGGAACATGACATATTTGCTCTTCTTAAACCTGCACCATATTTTCTCCCTTAATAATTCAAGTGAGAGGATGACATGTTTACCTGTGCACACTACTCAGGCAGACACAAATCCAACACTTAGCACACAAAAATACAGAGCTCAACAGAAGGGAAAGAAAAAGATGGGCTAAATTATGCTTTGCTAAGGTAGCCTTCACCATGCATTATTTTAAAACACCTGTCACTTTATAGTCCCGATGTACCCTGAATACCCGGATTTCTTGCTCCTGGAAAGACAAAGATAACAAACCTTACTATCAATTTCACTGCTCCCCAGAGCAGACTGGATCACGTACAGCAACGCGTCCGTCAGGCCGTCGCACTCCCTCATCCTCCGGCGGGCCTCCTCTCCAGCAGAGCTGACGTTCCTGCAAGGCAACAGCAAGGGTCACCGCCTCCCCTCCCGAAAACCCCCTTGCCACTCACACGCAGGTCAAACACCGGGCTTTTTCCTCCTTTCGTCAGTTCAGAGTTGTGAATAATGAAGGCAGCCGTGAACGAGCTCGGGAAATGTAACATAGAAGGGAAAGAAGAGAAGTGGTCTGGTCCTCCAGCAGAAGGGGCCAAGATGCCAAGCAGCGTGCACCCACCTGCAATGGGAGACTCGCGGCTGGCTGCAGTTTGGAGAAGGGCTGGTCATTTTTCTTTTTTGTTTTTTTCCTAAAGTAGGTTTTATATTTGTGAGAAAGCGTTTTTAAAATGTGCATATGTACATATAGATCAGGCTTTGAAAAGTCCAGAGGTTTTGTCAGAGAAATCTCCTAGGATTTGAAGAGCCCAGTAGTTAGGGCTCTTAACCCGAGAGAAAAATATTATCAAAGCACAACACAAAACACCTGGTATTGCTTGCTTCTCATTTTACGTGAATGTTTCCTTTTCTCTCTCATTTTGAGGGAACAGTAATGCCTCAATCTTCTCTTTACATAGCTACCCACAAGTTGTTATACAGTGCAAAATTTAAAACCTCAGCTTAGTATAGTAATTGTGTTCCTCAGACAGGGCCAGAGGGCCTTCTGAACACATTTATAAAAACACATTTAAACCAAAATTTAGTGGATAACATAATGTGCCATAAGTTCAAATTACTGATATACAAAGAAACAAATATTGATATATAAAGAAACAAATGTGTACGAATGAGCATATATAAACAGAATCTACACTTGCTAACATCAAGCCTCGCTGTTGAAAAATTGCATCCAACTTTGCACAGCAGTTTTGATTTGGAAACGCGTGAACTGGCAACATCAGGCAGAGGGTAAAACTCTTCACATAATCTCCTTTGGCAGGGGAAGACAACCCTCTGCTGAGGTGGATCATCTGTAGCTCCTCTCTCCCCACTCCTGAAGTTCACACAAAGGAGGAACAGAAAAGAGTACACCAGCCCTAAGTATGTCATGCCAATGCATGGAAATGGAAGGGAGGCCACTGGGCCTTTCATTTGGGAAGAAGGCAAGATACTTTCTTCCCCTTATGTCATTTTCAATTGCCTTTGCATGAAAGATGGAAAAAAGGATGAGAATCCTGGGAGGCGGGAATGAATTTTAGATGAGAAATGTGAGAGGACTTAAGGATAGGTTTCCTTTCAAGTTTTTCTTTGCTCTACCTACTGCATCCTGCCTTGCTCTCATCTAAAAAAAACCACTTCCATCCCCCCATAGCACCAAAGAGTTTTCCTAATCAAATAATCTTCTAACCGGACAATCCCCCAGCCCCTCCAATGCAGGTTCCTAATTAATTCTACTCCCTAAACACACACGATTTTCCACCTATACTTGCTTCCCCACACAGTTCTAATTAGTTCTGCTCTTCCCCATACAAGCTGCCCTAATTAATCCAATACTGTTGCCTTCACCTCTGCCGACAGCCTGACAAAAAACATACAGCCCAGGAGCACTAGAATGAATCCCTTTATCTCCCTAGCACACAAATTCATGCTTTCCATTCTCCTTGAGACTCCCCAGTTCACCTCACATTACAAATCAGAAGCTTGCCCTTCATAATGGCTTGCAAGTTTTGTGTTGTCTTGTTCTTCCTCTGGTCCCTGAACTCCATACCTCTTCCCCTCTCTCTCTGCTGTTGTAAGAGCAGCAGATGAGGGGCCTTCCTCCAGTTCACTGGGAAACCCTCTTCTGTCAGCCAGGAACTGGAGTCTGGAGAGCATCAACTGGAAAAAGTCTTCCATTGGCTCTCCCTTTGAACTGATAGAAACATTTTGACTTCCCTTTGGGTGGCAGAAATCAGAAGGTAAAAATATATAGCATGGAAAACCATGCCCATGCTCTACATCTGCAGGGCTGGGGACTCTGCCTACAGTGTATTTTGAGTAGACTGTCCCCTTGCTGAAGGCAACAGCTCCACCTGAAATTCCTGAAGGGCAGCACACGCAGGAAAAGCAGAATCATGGATCTGAAAAGTGCATTGCGGGGTGGGCAGTGAGGACAAGGGGGATTAGTGGACTTCTTTTATCTGAAATTGTACTCTCCCACCCTCCAGGAAGACAGAGAAAGAGAGAGAGTTGTAATCAGCTCTAAAAGACTAACTGCATGAATTACAATAGGAGGATGCTGAGGAAGTGTTCTCAGTGCACTACCTTTCCTTGCACCACTATCAAAAAAGAGCGAAAACACACTGTGTCCTTTTAAACAGAACTAGACACTAGTACTAACATAATATCCCCAGGCTTCTTCCTTTTCTGCAATTACATACACAGAGTGCAAGCTTTCAAAATATATAGATTTAAGACATTGGTAGAAACGCAGAGATATGCCCTCCCTGATCTTTCCACTGAGGCTATTTCTTCTTCTCTCTAGCATGGCCAAATGCATGTCACCTCAACACTCCAGAGCCTGCAGAGACCAGCAGCCTCTCAGCTCCTCTCCAAGTCCACCAGAAACTCCTCCTCACCAAGACAGCAATGCAGACAACCTTACAGTCCCTGAGCTGCGAGCTGTCTGCCTCATCCATTTCCAGCCAAACAAAGAATATGAGGCCTTTATACAAAGTAATACAGACACTCCAGGGGCACATCTTGCACAGACAACATGTTTCTTTGCCCTGTGTGGAGGAGCTGTGGAGTTCACTTCTTCTGTTTATTATCCTTCCCTATTATGCTCCAGTTGCTTCTGTAATAAAGAGGTGGATATACCGAATTCCCATGACTGCTTTTCCTTTTCTTTTAAAAGTCTCTGTCTAGTTTCTGCGCTGACTCATAGCTACTAGAGCCCTCCCCAGATCTGGTGTCTTCATTTACATGGCAAATAGCTTAAAACCCAAGACAAATCCAAATCTTACATGAACATTTTGGCAGAAATAATAATATGATTATTTAAAAAGAAGTGCATCCCATTCTCTACTATTCCCATTTCACCTCTACTGAAGGAATCATTGTTACCTGAGATCTTTCACTGAAGGTCTCTAATATCACCATGTTCAGACCATGTAGTTCAGTGTAAGAGAAGCAAGTCCCAGATTGAGCTGTCAAAAAGAACATGCTGCCATCTAAATCTTCTTATTTCTCATTGTTAACTGAAACACGCTGTAGCTGTCAGTATGACAGCGAGTAAGACATGATTTGTCTTTTGTGAATTTACAGGTTGCTCTGCAAACCTGAAACTGGAACAGTAGTGGTATCTACTGTTGGTTAAATGTCCCACTAAGCACAGATTTCTCCAGAGTCAGTCTCCAAACAGGTGACAGCATGTTTTCTAGATTTTTAAAGAGATGTGGAGATACAGTGCACAGGTTTTCAGGAAAATAACACTTTTCCATTGTAAATGCAGCCCAGCAAAACCTTGATTGCCTGGTACATTTTGATTCTTTGTGGAAACTCTACTCAGAGGGTATAAGTGAGGCATAGGCTGACATTTCGAATCTGACAGGACAAGGAATCCTTTAGACCTCCATAAACCAGTAAAATTAATTTCATATGGAATCTGGTCACACAGGAATACCAAGAATACAGCGTGCTGAAGAGTAACTCCCAGTTTAGTCAGAAGGTCCTGCTCAGGCCTCCAAAAACCAGCTAACGTAAACAGTTTCTTCTCAAGAGAGGAACACCATGAACGGATAGTCAGAACAAGAGTTCAGACCCACGGCTCATCAAACCGCTGTTTTCTGAACAAACGGCAGACCTATTTCTTGTCAGATGTTTATTGCACTTTATGTTCTTTTCCATCTAGGAATGGAAAGAGAACTACAGTAATCCAGCTTCAGTCCTAGGGGAAGATGTGTCAGCTATCATGCCATCATCTGATGACTAACAGCACGCATGACATCCAAACATACACAAGGGATGTCAATCCAATGCTCTATGGACATGAAGTGGGTGGTATAAAGGAATGCACTGTGCAACACATTCCTGATTCCTGTCAACCCTGTCACTTACCTTAGTCATTCAATATAATTGCTGGGATTTGAGGTAGGGGGAGATGGGTGGTGCCACATAATTTCTTTCTCCTTTGGGGAGAAAGAAGATGCTCCACACGCTTCCATACGCTCGTACAAACTGTGTGAGGTTTCGAGCAACATCCTTATGACTCTAGGATAACTAGGTTCACCTGCCTTATCCAGGGGAGGGACACTGAATTCTGTGGAAAGATCACCCAGAAAGCCAGTGTGCTGAGAGACGTGCCTTCTGCATATGGGAATATTTAGCAAGATGTTGACATTACTCCCAGTGGCAGTTCCACAAATCTCAAAGACAGAATTGAAGTATCTGCAGAAGCAACCGCCCTCCTTGAGTGAGCATGCTCAGGTCACACCGAGTAGTAGACCTTTCCTGTACCAGCTACGTGTTTGCAGACTGCATATGTCACTGCAGTCATGTAGGACAATCACTGAGAACAAATAACTTGTATTCAGCAAAGATGAAATTGAGACTGGTCTTCCTCAAGGCCCCATGACAAAATGAGAAAGCATGCTTCATATCTAGTATATGTAACATTTTTGCTATGGACTGATGTGATATAAGAATGGACAGACACAGGAAGGACAGTACCTTAAATCAGGTGGAACGCAGAAGTTATCTTTGGTAACTTCAGATGTGTCCAAATTACACCTTTATTCCAAAATGTGTAAGAGGAACTAATCTTAACAGCCTCAGTCTTGTTCATCCTTCTACTTATTATAGTAGCAACCAAAACCAGATTTTTCACAGAAAGGGGGAAAAGTTCATATAAACAAAGAATTCAAAAAACTCCATTAATGTTGTAGGAACTACGTTTATGTTTCCCTGAGGATACCTAGCAAGGCAAAAGCCCTCAGGAGAATACTGAATAGGCAAGTTGCAACTGACAGACAAAATATGCATCTTTAAAACACATTAAAAAAAAAAAAATCCCTGATACTGGCCTCCCCTACGTGTGCT